ATTCCAAAATAAATAAGGCACTCCTGACATCTATGTTATATACATTGTCCAAGAAAACAATGAACTATTTCTCTACAGTACCAACATTAATCACCTGTATATCTCATGATAGAATAAATACACCTTTATGACCTAAACACTGGATTTCAACGACTGATTATAGCTTTGTCCGAATTACTGCATTTCACACAGGTGAAGACATGTACGTCTGTTTCTCAACTACTCCGAAGACCATGTGACAGAAATAGAAACAAATAAGAGTGTATGGGATGTTTACCGCCGTGTTGACTGCCGTTATTGATACTGTGCACGTCTAAAATCAAACTCTCAAAATCTTCGATGGCGATGTGAGAATCAAATCTTTCTCCTCGAACTTACAAGAAAATAACAGTATTTTGTTACACTAATTACATCAAAGTTCAATAAAGCTGATATTGTTGACACTACACTCCCATTGGCGGGGCCAGGTTTACGTCCGAGGGGTGGGGTGGGGAGTGGTCGAAATACCTGAGGTTGCCCGGCTTTCTAACCTAATGAGAATTTTGCCCGAAAAACATACCCGTGGAGCTGCGAGAGGGGCGGGAACGGGTAATCCCTTCAAAAGTGACTAGGCTTATCTCCTTTTCTTGCATCAGTCACCCGAAGATGACGATTTAGATTGTTGAAACGTAGTGTGTAATAAAGATAAGGAGTAGTATACCATAACATTGTGTTCCGTTATTTAATGTTTAAAAGTACGAGCTGAGATATCACGAAGTATATTAATAGATAAAAAGGTGTGGTATGCAAGATACATATTATTGATATTTGCAAACGAAATAAAAGATACAAACCTTGTGTTATATCGGCTGTTTAATATACCATTTCTTCATATTGATCTATCCAATTAGTAATATCCTTAATAATTAGTAATATCCTTAATAATTAGTAATATCCTTAATAAATAATAATATCCTTAATAATTAGTAATATCCTTAATAATAAGCAATATCCTTAATAATTAGTAATATCCTTAGTAATTAGTAATATCCTTAATTATTAGTAATATCCTTAATAATTAGTAATATCCTTAATATTTAGTAATATCCTTAATAATTAGTAATATCCTTAATAATTAGTAATATCCTTAATAATTAGTAATATCCTTAGTAATATCCTTATTTATTAGCAATATCGTTAATAATTAGTAATATCCTTAATAGTTAGTAATATCCTTAATAATTAGTAATATCCTTCATAATTAGTAATATCCTTCATAATTAGTAATATCCTTAAAAATTAGTAATATCCTTAATAATTAGTAATATCCTTAATAATTAGTAATATCCTAAATAATTAGTAATATCCTTAGTAATATCGTTAATAATTAGTAATGTCCTTAATAATTAGTAATGTCCTTAATAATTAGTAATATCCTTAATAATTAGTAATATCCTTAATAATTAGTAATATCCTTAATAATTAGCAATATCGTTAATAATTAGTAATATCCTTAATAATTAGTAATATCCTTAATAATTAGTAATATCCTTGATAATTAGCAATATCGTTAACGATTAGTAATATCCTAAATAATTAGCAATATCCTTAATAATTAGTAATATCCTAAATAATTAGTAATATCCTAAATAATTAGTAATATCCTTAATAATTAGTAATATCCATAATAATTAGTAATATCCTTAATAATTAGGAATATCCTTAATAATAAGCAATATCCTTAATAATTAGGAATATCCTTAATAATTAGGAATATCCTTAATAATTAGTAATATCCTTAATAATTAGTAATATCCTTAATAATTAGTAATACCCTTAATAATTAGGAATATCCTTAATAATAAGCAATATCCTTAATAATTAGTAATATCCTTAATAATTAGTAATATCCTTAATGATTAGTAATATCCTCAATAATTAGTGATATCCTTAATAATTAGTAATATCCTTAATAATTAGTAATATCCTTAATAGTTAGTAACATCCTTAATAATTAGTAATATCCTTAATAATTAGTAATATCCTTAATAATTAGTAATATCCTTAATAATTAGTAATATCCTTAATAATTAGTAATATCCTAAATAATTAGTAACATCCTTAATGATTAGTAATATCCTTAATGATTAGTAATATCCTAAATAATTAGTAACATCCTAAATAATTAGTAACATCCTTAATGATTAGTAATATCCTTAATAATTAGTAATATCCTTAATAATTAGGAATATCCTTAATAATTAGGAATATCCTTAATAATTAGGAATATCCTTAATAATAAGCAATATCCTTAATAATTAGTAATATCCTTAGTAATTAAGTCCACGGACCTCCACTCATCTTGAGTCACTGCATTGAATGGCAGAGAAGAACGCCGTTACCGATCGTGGGACCGGATCTCTGATGGGACTGAGATCATCACGAATATAAGAATTTTCTTAAGGTGCCCTCACACCATAAGACCACCAGTTGCGTATGTTTACCAATAATGAAAGTGGACATGAGTACCGAGCGCTACAACTCAGCTGCATAATATTATTGCTATTCTTATTCGTTGCAACTGTCGATCGCTATGGTGTGAGGGCCTCTTAATTTTCCAAGTTGGACTGTGTCTTAGCGAGGATACTCAGCTAAGTTGTAGTGGACTCTATTTCTTGAATATACCAATCTTGATGGGACCGTAATGATCGATGTGATGATAGCTCTCCTATAAAGAGTAGTGATGGGTAATGTTACAGTTGTGTTTTGTGGACGGGGCTTAATTCCAAGTTTATGTGCAGTTTACGGAAAGTAGGATTCATTCCTGCAAGTAACTTTTAGGTCTTTAAGGTATTAACCTTACACATTGAGAGAACTTCATTGTATGAACTATATTAAGCTACTGTTTGAAATTTACATTTCAAGGGAGATAACCAATATCTGAATATTACAATCAGTATAGAAGTTCATTAATTTAAATTATATCTTCAGTCTAATCCAAATTAGGCCAAACTTTCGTTTCCTTTTTCTTTTTTGAATGACATCTAGCGTTAATTTTTAAGTTAGTTAGATTCTGTAGCGTTTCGAGAAAACATTAGGTGACGGGGCCGAACATGTAAAATGATCAAAAATTTGAAAGTGGGTCAAAGCTGGGTCAGCGTCATCTCTAGCTCCCCGAAAAAACCCAACTGGTTAGATCCTATAAGGTAAACTTTTCAAAGTTAATAGGTGGGTAACTGATAAATTTGATAAATACAGTAGTTATGCCATAAGTCGAATCCATTTAATAGTCGAGCCCCTTTAATTGCCATCCCCGTCTTCATTAGCCCACAAGTTGCAGAAAGGTAGGACGTGAAACTCCTTTCCTTTCATTGTCAGTCTTTTTGTGGTGTAATTGATAAGGTTATTTATCTCCCTAACTGTTGTTGAGGTCCACGTTAATGAATATTTATATATGACGTCATATTAGAGGACGCTTCTTTCGAAACGGGATGTTTAATGATGTAAAGAAAAGAGTTGTTTCTAAAAAGCAGCTCCTCCCACCACAAAAATTATCATTGACAACGACGGAAAAAATATCGGGCAACATACCGAAAAACAGGAAAAAAACCGGTAAATTTCGTGGGAAAATTTCAGCCTTACAAACCACCCCCTCTCACTCCCCCATAGCAAGCATTCGACCCCTACGCCTGTGTTTCTCGCCTTTTTCCAACACCGGGAAGTCTGTTTTATCAGTAATCGAATAAGCAGTGGCGGAACCAGATTTCCATCTGAGGGGGGCGGGTCGAGATATCTGAGATTAAGAAAGATTTAAAAGATTAGGTTTATTTCGCACTCTTCATTTAATTTACCTTTCTGTAAACAAATATTTGTTACACATATTTTTAATTTGACCTTATACACTATTTGGTATGCACGTGTTGTCATTCTACTGCATATTTGAGAGCCAAAGCAATTATAATTGTTGGGCGAAGAAAAGCATTACGGTTCAAAAGTTGAGATACTTTTCGAATATTAATCATATCCATTGAATCATACGATGATCAACATGTTCTTCTAAAGAATATTTCATTATCCGCGTTTGAATGTTAAAAGCCGACATCAATTTAAGATAATCTGTGATATATAGAAAAGACATCTATAGAAATGATGAGTAAAAACTCCTAGTTTGAGATATTTTTGAAGGAATTATGAGATTTTCATACATTTCTAGTACTTCTTAAGACTATTAACAAATTTTCAAGACTCCAATCAACACTGAAAGAATGTAGTACGGTAGTTTAATAAACATTTTATATCTCAATTCTGTATCAACAATGTAATATAAAAAATATTGTCTATATTGGACAAAGAGGGTTTTTATAGGCCTATCAATATTGTTTCTTTATTTTTCTTTTTTCAAAATTAAATATTTATTACCCAGAATATCATGACAATACAAGGAATGGGTGTCCTGATGAATTGCCTTACAATCTATTATATTCAACACATATGTTTACGATAGATCATCTATATAGATTTCACTTCAATATTAAATCTGTATTTATGACTAGAAGAGTAACATGCCTTGCTAAAGCTTCTAGTGGCCGTCACTGGCAATACACGTGTTGATGTGAACATGATTATATAATGATATTAAGAATTAAGCTTAAACTATTGATTTCGTATGTACGTATGCATAATAATTATATAAAATAGTGCTAGATATTTTTTTCTCTGAAGGAGCGTTTAAAAGCCACGTGTTCGTCGGTAAAACTTGGATGTTACATTTTTGTCAAAATGGTCACGCTACGCTCCTGGTGAAAGGCGCAAGTTTTCTATTATTGGTCAAGATTGTAAATCTTAATTTTATGTTCAGTCTAAATAATTGTAATCCTTAGCCTGATATGTATAATTGTTGTAATGCTGTAATACGTTCTCATTGAGTGACTGACCTTTAATACGGATAAATATTGATCAATTACATTATGCATATTTAAAATCACTTGGCAAAACTAGATATTCTCGTGCATTTGAATACTTAATTTCTAGCAGTGTTTGAAAACTAGGATATTTTTAGTTGAAACTTTCAAAACAGGTAATTGACATATTCTTCTGTACTTTTATGTTTTGGTGTTTTCTACATGTACAATGGCGTTTCTAGGAAACATTAGTTGAAAGGACCGAGCAGGGCCAGAAAATTGTCTTTCACCATGTAAATTGTTGAAAATTCTCTATGAATTATTACCATATATTATCATTTATTAGAAATATCAACCTTTCGTTTCATTTTATATTTTTTGTTATTTTTTCTCACATATACCATTCGATCGTTGAATGATGCCTTAAATGGGCGTATTTGATACAATAAACTTATCTTTGCTTATCTTATCTTATGTAAACAGAGTAAAGAGTCAATCATTTGATTAATCAACTTGATTATTAATGGTTATGGTATTTTGAAAAAGATTTTATCGTAATTAAGTATTATAGAATAAGGCCCTTAATGTGGGGATAAAACAAAATCTTTTTGAATCAAATCCTGGCATATCACAATATTTATAATCAGTATTTTAGACTGAAAAATTTACCAGCCCAGAAACCTAATTGGAATATGGCTGAATTTTTTTTTACCTTTGCATAAAATTTGAAAAAATGTGAGAGTGAAATGTACACATTATTTATTTTGAAAATATTAAAAAAAACCTTTTATACGGTAGTTTGGACATGTTTATTTTTATTTTTTTGATAATGATTAATTCTACTTAGGGTAACGTGGGGGAATACCCACCCTAAGAATTCGATTTGGAAGAATATAGAAGTTGCAATTATGATGAATAATATGTAAATAGCAACCACTTTACTTATTTTTAATATAAAAGGGCATCCGTTAAAACATTGTACATGTCGTCTCGCCCTGATGATAATCAGAGGGTGTCATTCAACAAAGCCCTAAAGGTTTTGTAAACAGGTAAACAAGAAATAGTTCAAAGAAGTTAGGCTGAAACGTCTCAGGGACACTAATGTCTGGAAACCAAATATGAATATTGTTTCCGAATAAAATTGCAATAAAAAACTTGCAACACACACTCCAAATATTAGATGAAAACTGGTACAAACGTTTTGTTATCTGTAATAATTTCAGCAGGATAGGTTTAGCTACAAACCTGGTTGGATGTTGGTGGGGATTACGCGACTAACGAAGACAGATAAAAACGCCATCTGATGATTAACCTTAGAGTTATCCTGATGAGACATCTTGCCTCGAGGGGCGAACTCCCCCGTGCTACCCTTTTTTTTTGTTTGCTGAATTAATATTTTTGTATACTGTTATAAAAAATAGTAAACAAAAATGATAATTCAGCAAACAAAAATGAAATAAGTTGAAATAAATGATTCCTTAATTGAGGAACCCATCTTTAAATCATAAATAAAAAAAATAATAAACCACAGTACTTTTAACACGTTTTATGTCTGTAGTAACTGACATGAACTGAGCATAAATCTGTTGACTCTTTGCATTACCCCTTTAAGAATTTCGAATTACCAACTATTTATATGAGAAATACTGAGCGCATGCGACCTATAGTCTGTATCAATGTTATACCATGTTATATTATTGTCCATATCAAAAAAGTGTTTATTCAATTTCTCAACAAAAGAAGACTTAAACACGCCTCTTTCACATAACCTGTTCCCTGTGTAAGGGGGAATGGTGTAGATGTTGGCTTATTAAAGTAGGTAATATGTGTTTGTACAGAAACATTGATTGCTCACAAAAATTCAAGTTTAAAATCGAATAACGTCAAACCGAAAGTAATATCGAAAGATTGAAAACAGATTGTTGTGTGCAATCAAGTTGTCAATCTGTAAATGTTCAAACTGATCAGAATAAAAAAAAGTTGACAAAACCGCACAAATAGAATTAAAATGATTGCGACAAAGTTAAAATTTTGCAATTCTTTAATAGCTATCCTGGGGGCATTAGTTGAAAGTAATAAACTAGAAAATAATCCGATCAAATTCGATTCATAAATAGAGTTGTAAATTAGGAAAAACGGAAAATATGGTTAAAACATTCAAGTAAATACTAAGCACAAAGTTAAAGACTTTTTGTTAGGTAAGATATTAGATATAATATTGAATAAAATTCTAAGTAAAATTTTAAGTAAAATGTTCTTATTGAGTCGGATATGTTTAAGTCGTCACCCAGTCTACTGATCTTTATCTAAACATAAAGACATTAGCGCCATATTTCTGTATATCTGGATGTCTTGATGTCTGAATTGTATGATATTTTGTTGTCTGGATGGTTTGACATCATAATGGCTGGGTGATTGAATGTCTGGTTGTCTGGTTGGATTGATATCTGGCTGTCTGGGTGACATGATGGTTTTAATATCTAAATTGCTTGATGTTTGGATGACCTGATGTGTGGTGACATGATGGCTAGATGTCTGGATGGCTGGATGACATGATGACTTGATGTCTGGATGACTGCATGACATGGCGGCTTGATATTTGGATGATTTGATATCTGGATGGCATGGTTGCTTGATGTGTGGATGGCTTGATGTGTGGATGGCTTGATGTCTGGATGGCTTGATGTCTGGATGACTGCATGGCATAGTGACTTGGTGTCTGTATGGCTGGGTGGCTTGGTGATTGAATGATTGAATATGTGGATGGCGTAATGGCTTGATGTAGACCTGTAAACAAGCGGTTAAGCTGCTGAATTGTTATTTCACTTGACTGCAGTTTACTGCTTTATGCGATTTGACATAATAAAGTAAAAATTATTGAGATGAAAGAAGATATAAGCTGAAGGCTATCAAATATTGATTATTGAGTAATCACAATACACATATACATTGTAAATAGATAAAAATGTTCCTTTGCTATTTTAAAGTAAAAACTGCTTAAAGGGATTTTAATCTGGAACACTGATAGCTTTAATTTGCACCATTCCAATTTTCATTCCGACGTCTGTGGTTCTTGCAATTACACTAAAACGAAAGCATTTTATGACGTCACTAGAGGAGAGCTACCGGAAGCCACTATTGATATCTATGCGGTTCCGCTTTAGTGACGTCATAAAACGCGTTAGTTTTAGGGGAATTGCAAAAACCACAGACGTCAGAAAATTGAAATGGTGCAAGTTGATGCTATCCGTGTCCCGGATACACGTAAACAGTTTAGAGAACCTCTTTACAATCTCTTTAAGATGTGTATTCGAGGAAAACATGGTCTATTATCAGCAATTGTCGTAGCATACTAGGTTAACTTGATATGAATCAATCCTTTTTGATGTTAATGCACCACTGAAACTCCACCCCCTTTAAAAAAAAAAACTCTCGAATTGTGTGAACTTCTATTTGATGGGATAAAATGAAACCGTTATCAATATTTTAAATCATTTAATAAAATGTGCATTAAAATTTTTAATCAAATTCATCCTAATGTTTCTTGAACTCGTCAGAAAGATGGTATGTATACTACATAGATGCATATTACACCTGGCACAGAAGTTTTATAAACTATAATTAATCGCGAAAGTCGACATCTGCTCAGCAATATGCCAGAATCACGCATTGTCTGGATGTCTGGATAGCTTGATGTCTGAATGGCTTGATGTCTGGTTGTCTGGATGGCATGGTGGCTGGATGGTTTGGTGTCTGGACAGCTTGATGTTTGAATGGCCTGATGTCCGAATAGTTTGATGTCTGGATAGTTTAATGTCTGGTTGTCTAGATGACATGATTGCTGGATGGTTTGATGCCCGAATAGCTTGGTGTCTGGACAGCTTGATGTTTGAATGACTTGATGTCTGGATAGCTTGATGTTTGGATAGCTTGATGTCTGGATGAGTGGTTTGAAATCCGAATGGAATGACTCGATCTCTGGACAGCTTGATGTCCGAATAGTTTAATGATTAGATTGATTGTGCTCTATCTTTTCAGAATAAAATCAGGATGAATTTTCTTCGATCTCTGTACATCCTGCTCATCGCCCTCCCTATCTTTATTTTCCTTTTTGTTCGATACCAGCCGTTACGATATCTACTAGCAAAATCCGTGGACAGGGAAGCCACAGAAATAAAAAAAGAAAAAGATAGTATGCTTCAAGAAATGACAAAAGAAAAAGAAAATATGCTTCAAGAATTGAAAAAAGAAAAAGAAAATATGCTTCAAGAATTGACAAAAGAAAAGAAGGACCAAAACGAAGACATGACAAAAAAAATAACAATAACGAAACCAAAAGAACCAACTGTTCCTCAAAACATTGGAGTAAAAGATTTGTGTACATTGCTTGATAAAGGTGAGTATCTATTTTGTTTAAGGAAATTCATATACATGTATTGCAATAGAAGGCTTGAAGGATACACACATTAAGTAGCACTTGAACGCAGCTGTGTGTATTACTTCTTACCGGCTATATTCCATCTGTTAATCGTCCCAAATTATGGACATCCCATTAACTCGATGTCCCAATTGATAGACATATTATTTAGACAAAGGGGGGATATACTGGTAATAACCCATCCTGTTTGTAAGACATCCTATTTGTTAGACATCTTATTAGTTAGACTTCTTATTAGTTAGACATCCCATTCGTTAGACATCTTGCTTGCCCCACAGCCCAGTAGTTAGACATCCCATTAGTTACACATCGCATTAGTTTGACTTCCCATTAGTTACACATCTTATTAGTTAGACATCCCATCAGTCAGATATCATATTAGTTTGACTTCTCATTAGTTAGACATCCTATTTGTTAGACATCCCATTAGTTACACATCATATTAGTTAGACATCCCATTAATTACACATCATATTAGTTAGACATCCCATTAGTTACATATCATATTAGTTAGACATCCCATTAGTTACACATCATATTAGACATCCCATTAGTTACACATCATATTTGTTAGACATCCCATTAGTTAAACATCATATTAGTTAGACATCCCATTAGTTAGACATCCCATTAGTTAGACATCATATTAGTTAGACATTCCATAAGTTAGACATCCCATTAGTTACATATCATATTAGTTAGACATTCCATAAGTTAGACATCCCATTAGTTAGACATCCCATTAGTTAGACATCATATTAGTTAGACATTCCATAAGTTAGACATCATATTAGTTAGACAGTTCATAAGTTAGACATCTCCCTTGCCCCACAGCCCAGTAGTTAGACATCCCTTTAGTTACACATCATATTAGTTTGACTTCACATTTTCACATCTTATTAGTTAGACATCCCATCAGTCAGATATCATATTAGTTTGACTTCCCATTAGTTAGACATCTTATTTGTTAGACATCCCATTAGTTAGACATCCCATTAGTTAGACATCATATTAGTTAGACATTCCATAAGTTAGACATCATATTAGTTAGACATCATATTAGTTAGACGTCCCAATTTTTAGACATGTTTATTTAGGAGAAGAGAGAATTTATCAACAAATATAATGAATCAGTCCGAAGTAGATTTAAGTACCGAGATAAAGGGACTCATAATACGGTTCGTTCAAAATCATGGATACCTGAAAAGAAACATGACTTTTTTTTTCAATTTCCATCATGAAATAACGTCATCTGTTAGTTATATGAAGGCAATTGTGTTTATATTTTGAAGGTATTCAAGTTGACTCTTGGTGGAAATATGTTTGCTTGATTGAAAGGTAATTATGTCTACGAATCCCAGTCAATTGCACAATTGCGTTTCTATAAATCATTGTGGGGGAGGGGGAGAGAACTTACAACCTTACAACACCAGGCATTAACAACTGGCTGTAGGGGGGCGGGGGGGGATCATTCGACCTGCTTATAAAGATTATTTGACCTGAGTATAAAGACCACTTGCTCCGTAAGATCATAGATAACCCGATAAAATTTGATTAATCTTATGGTCATTTTGACTGATTTGTGAACGTTATATCGGCTTTTATAAGAAATGATCGTTTTGACTATAACCTTCAAAGAGGTTATTATCCCTTAAGCCCGATTCACATAGACAGAATTTACTTTTGTAAGTACTCGCGTAACGTAAGTACAAATCCATGTGAATTTTTCTTAAGAAAATATATATTTTTTGTAGGAATATCGATAAGCCTCTAGGTTATAATTGTAAGAATGCTAAGAACATGGGAAATTGGAAAGTTTGTTTTGATGAAAAATACAGCCCTATTCGTCCAGATAAACCCTGTTTAGTTTATTCGTTTGGGTAAATATTACTTATAAGATGTTCAATTTAGCATCGCAACTTTTAAATTCGTAATATGATATGATGTGATGTTCACCATGAAATGCTTACCTGGACATGCTCCCAAACACCTGGCCCAAATAGTTTTCATCTCATAGATGGCAAGTAGTAGAAAAGATCAGTTTAGCATTCCACAAAGTTGAAGAGATGATGTCTAAAAAAAACTTTACCTGTTTCCAGAGCTAATTAGCTATTATATTTTCAAAGTGTCTGAAGATCGCATAGCGTGAAACTCTGAGTAACAGTTATATTTTAAATGTTATATTTTAAATTGTATTTTAATATAGCTGTTTTCAGAATTATAATACTGTACGATGTCGATTTCCAATGTTTTGAAAAGAAAGAAACGTTTGTTTTGCAATTCTTGGACTACTGTCATTTAAACAACGTCTGTATCATACCTATCGTTTCTGTCAAATACAAACTGTTTTTCTTTCTGTTTTTTAGGATAGCTTGGGATTTTACATTTGATATCGCAATGGCGAAACAAGGTTGTGAGGTGTATTCATTCGATCCAAGGTAATTAAAATTGTTTTTATCAAAAACTGGAATATAAGATGTAGGTCAAGGTAGAATGTTTTATCTTTTCTTGTGGAGATGATTTACGATGAATACGGGTAACGTCGAAAGCTTTTTTAAAACAAGTTAATTGTGTACCTTCCTCACAGCATCGTTGTTTAAGTGGGTCATCGCACGTGTAAATATTGCCGTCGCCCCTCTTAGTCTGTCTGTCCACAATTGCTCGCAAACACTCTAGAAGGCACAATTCTTGGTGGATTTTGACGAAACCTTGTGTGAGTGTTTGTTATCACTCAAGGATGAACCCTATTGAACATCAGAAGAATCAATGAATATTTTGCTGGAGTTATTGCACTTGTTTATATTATACTTGAATATTTCATACTGGGGACTGTATATTTGTTTTCAAAATCAGCGCTGCCAGTGGGCGTATATCATCTCCCCTGGCAAGCTATATTTCTCATTGCTAAATTTACAGGCGTCTCTCTAAAGGCGTCTGAAAGATTAACCCTCTGAAATCGATATTCACAAATATTACAATCACTTTCAGCATGGGGCTCAAAGACTACACACATAGTAAGAATGTTTACTTTAAAAACCTTGGGTTGAGTGATGTCGATGATGACAATTTCACACCAAGATTTGATATTTATGTCAAGAAGCCTCAGGTCTGGAAAACTCGAACATTGAGGTCTGTTATGAAAATGTTACAGCACGAAAATGTAAGTTGATCCCCAGGTTAGAGGTCGGTTATGAAAATGTTACAGCACGAAAATGTAAGTTGATCCCCAGGTTAGAGGTCGGTTATGAAAATGTTACACCACGGAAATGTAAGTTGATCCCCAGGTTAGAGGTCGGTTATGAAAATGTTACAGCACGAAAATGTAAGTTTATCCCCAGGTTAGAGGTCGGTTATGAAAATGTTACACCACGGAAATGTAAGTTGATCCCCAGGTTAGAGGTCGGTTATGAAAATGTTACACCACGGAAATGTAAGTTGATCCCCAGGTTAGAGGTCGGTTATGAAAATGTTACACCACGGAAATGTAAGTTGATCCCCAGGTTACAGGTCGGTTATGAAAATGTTACAGCACGAAAATGTAAGTTGATCCCCAGGTTACAGGTCGGTTATGAACATGCTACTACACGATGTTTGTACATTTACTAGAAGTTCATCGCAGTTTCATATAGTCTCGGGTGGGGTTCATGCGCAAATCTTATGTGACCTTTTTCATTTTCTCTGGTACTCGCATTCCAAAATATGTGGTTCATATACGCTTCTAGGAGTAGCAGAGTAAACGAACGCGACCGGATCGTGCAACATGCATGGCGTTATCCAAATAGGTTCAGTAAAGAAAGACGCAAAACTTTATTTTGTTAATTTGAATATTTTCAGAGAGTGATCGACGTATTGAAATTTGATATTGAGCTAGCTGAATGGAAGGTTATGATAAATATTATCAAAGATGGAATGCTTCCTCAAATACGACAGCTACTTACAGAATGGCACATCTTTCCAGGGGCACCAAAAAGAGATGAACTCAAAACCTTTTATGAAATGCATCGTGATTTGCCATCACACGGGCTGGAGACGTTTTTTAAAACGGGTCATGCTCGTCAACATTCTGATTTACTAAAATTTAATTCTCAAGCCGAGTCTTGTTATATCAATGTCAAGTTTACGGACTCAAAATAAAAATCTTCCTTTTTGTATAAAAAAAAACAATAGTTATTAAAGTGCCTTTTTATGGATTTGTTAAATTCTTTAGAATTAGTTTAAATTAGTTTTATATTTATATTTTCTGAACTGTCGCTTTTGTTTTTGTTTGTCGTTTTTTTCGTTATAAAATAAAACTTGTGTTTTCTGAATTTTCATTATTGTCAATTATGGCGAATGCTGCTCACACAAAAAAAGTGATTTTACTGATCAATATTAATAGTTCAAGGGAGGTAACTAATGAAAATATTTAAATATGATTTTAACAGTTTTAAAGAGTGAACTTTTCACAGAAGTTGAATTTTGAATTAGGAAAATAAGGTTACAAAGGCCCACGTCAATAAGATCATCGAGAGACCCTGCGTCCTTTTTGGTATATTAGAGGGCACTAGTCGGGGGTCAGGAGGGCCTCTTGGGACTTAACGCGATTGTGATATGGTGAAGTAAAAGTGAAATAAAAAATTTAAGTTTTTATAGCCCGAATTGTCAATGTCAAAATTACAATTTTGTCGTCGATCTGAATGGTCAAAATCTGCAACCAGTCGGTCAATTTCTGGATATGAGCGTTTCTCTCGAGTTGACTGAAACCGATCTGAAATATATTCATCTATACTCAAAACTTTTAACAATTTGATATATGCATAAATATATAACCTATCAAAAAGTTATCAAAACATCTCCTTTCCACGGTGGTTTGTTTAGCACATGTTTGATTTTTTTTTTTAAGTTATGATTTATTTTACTTATCTGTTATTTTTGTCTGCCGAATTATCATTTTTTTCTGAATTAACAATTCTGAATCGACATGTGTAAAGTAAACATTCCAAATATAAATCGAATCATCCCCCCAAGGGTAAATATTTCGAAATAAATAACTCCCACCATTTCCTCTAGGATCCGCCAGCCCTCAGAGTATGGGTCTATTAAATTCCACCGCTAAGAGAAAATACTCTACGAGAAACTATCCTTACGTGTTAAGGTCATTGATGGTAAATGGAATCAACTGACTCCACACGCTACGAGAAACTATCCTTAAACACTCGGCCTCGAACGTTGTGTATTTCACATCTAAACGTTAACGGTTGGACTGCCCGGAATCACGAATTACGAGAGAAACTTATAACATTTGACAACTCTGACATTATCTGTGTAAATGAAACCCATCTTCAAGTTCATAAAACTATAGACATAAAAAACTATCGTTTTTATCCATTTAATAGAGAAAGCACTCACGTTAAAGCTGAAAAACCTTCACGAATTTTGAACGGCTTCAAAACTGTTGTCATAGATAAATTAATGATTGGAATATTAGTGTTATCGTTCGAACATAAAGATACCAACTTTAAGTTTGTGCTGTTTAGTGCATATTTACTACCTGAAAATTCACAATGGGGTAAGGACGCGGGTGTTTTCTTTTCTCATCTGATTAGTCAAATCTACTTATTGTCAGATTACGATGCTATATTCATATGTGGTGATCTTAATGCCAGGATAGGAGAAAACAACGATTGTAAAATGTGGCGTCTAGAACTGCTGTTGACATGACTGTGAACCAACATGGTAGAGATTTTCATGAATTTCTTTAAGATACTCGATTCTGTGTATTGAATGGGCGATTTTGTGATTCTTTCAGATACTCGATTCTGTGTATTGAATGGGCGATTTGGTCATTTTTTCAGCTCAGTTAGTCCAAAAGGTAATTCAGTAGTAGATTATATAAGTGTACCGCATGACTGTTTTAAATCGTGTTCAAACCTTACGATTACCTCCCCTTACTATTTGCACACAGTGAAAAATTAACCCACCTAATAAATCACAGATCATGTTTGCCAGATCATTACCTGGTCTCCTTTGACTACTCACTACCTATTAGTGTATCAATCAATCATAATAAACCCGAAACCCCTTCAAAAGATGGTATGAAATCTATAAAATATCAACTTGATAAGATACCGCTCTGTTTCATGGAATCAGAAGGTTCACGATCGGCGCTACTTAACACATTATCAGTGATATTGAAAACTACCGCAAATCACAATTAGGAATTAACGAAATATATTCTGATTTCTGTCATATTCTGATTTCTGAAATAAATAACTGTATACCTAACTCGGAAACGATTTAAGATAATTAAACCCTTCTGGAATGATGAATTAACGGATTTATGGCAAAAATTACGCACAAATGAAAGATCGTTTGTAAAATCGAAAGGCTCAACATGCGAAAAAAACGCACTACGCCAGGCCTTCAAACAATGAAGAGACAATTTTGATAAATGCTTGAAACGAAACGAGCGGCAATACCAGAGAGATCTTATGATCGATCTTGAGGAGGCCCACGTCCATGATCCGAAGAAATTTTGGCAACATCATAAGAGTCTTGGACCGAAGCGCAAATCAGATTTACCTTTCGAAGTTGACGGTGATAATAATGAGATTCTTACAAATCGCGATGATGTGTTGAAAGTGTGGTCTGAAGACTTTTCAAAACTATACAATCCCACATGTTCTACTCTTAACGATCAATAATTTCACGAGAGCATCCTCACACAACAGAATGAACTGGAAAGAGAAGGGTCACTTCTACCAAATGAAGAACTCAACTACGACATATCCCAAGATGAAATCAATCAGGTAACTTCCTGTAGTAAAAACCGAAAATCTTGTGGCATCGACAAACTACCTTATGAGGTTCTTAGGTTTCCTTGTGTCAAAACTGTGTTGCTAAAAATGTTTCAATTCTGTTTAACCAGTGGTAATTTTCCAGCAATTATAGAACCTATTCAAAAGGACACGACAAAAGATGTACGCATACCAACAAATTACCGTGGTATAAGTTTGTTATCATATGTAAGTAAACTATACACTTCTCTCTTAAATAAACGCCTTGTCTCGTATCTAGAGAACAACGACATTCTTGTTGATGAACAAAGTTGTTTTAGGCCGAATAGATCATGCCAGGATCACGTATTTGTTGCCAATTCATTGATCAAAACCAGATTATTATCAAAACAACCTACATACTCATGTTTTGTCGACATGCGTAAAACTTTTGATGCAATTCATAGGGAATATTTACTGCATAAACTTCTGCAAAATGGTGTGAACGGTCATTTCTATGATTCCATAAAATTTATATACATGGACACATCAGCATGTGTGCGAGTGAACGGATGTTTAACAAATTGGTTCGAGTGTTCTTCAGGTGTTCGCCAAGGTGACAACCTTTCACCAACATTGTTCTCAATTTATATCAATGACCTTGCAACTGGCTTGAAACAATTAAATAAAGGTATTGACATTAACGGTAGAAATGTTGGTGTCTATACGTAGATGACATTATGCTTCTCGCTTCAAATGAATCTGATTTACAATACATGCTTCATTATGTAAGTGACTGGTGCACCAAATGGAGATTATCAGTTAATCCAAGTAAATCAGCAATCGTTCACTTCAGACATTATAATGGATAATATACCTTTCATTTGAGGATTGTGCCACCACACTGTCACAATCTGCAAGTCGTGCACTAGGTGCTGTTATATCGAAAGTACATGGGTTCAAATCCGTTGGTATAAAATCTTACTCACAATTATTTGAAAGTTGTGTTCTTTCAATTTTAGAATACTGTTCAGGAGTATGGGGTTTTAAGCAATTTCCAAAGATAGAACAAATTCAAAATCGTGCTATAAGATATTTCCTGGGTCTTCATAGGTTTACACCAAAAGCCGCACTAAACGGAGATATGGGATGGCTGCCTCCACATGTAAAACGATGGCTTAATATGCTGAAAATGTGGAATAGGATCATTCAATACGACATGACAGTTTGCTTACAGATGTGTTTGAATATGATTATCAATGTGATAATGGAAACTGGTGCTCAGATTTAAAATCAGTATTTCTCAGTGTAGGCGAAGGTCATATAATATAAATATTATTTAGAAATAAACTAAGTTGTAGTATCGATGATATGAAACAGAAACTTTTTACTCTGTACAAAACTGAGTGGACAAAAGAAATTTCCTCAATATCAAAATTAAGAACGTACGTGACAATTAAATCTGTGAATGAGCCTGAACCTTAGTAAAACTGAACGCTCTCATCTTGCTCAATTACGATGTGGTGTTCTCCCATTGAGAATAGAAACCGGACGATACTCTGGGTTAAAACCAGAAGATAGACAGTGTGTATTGTGCAACACTGGTATGATTGAAGATGAAACCCATTTCCTACTCCATTGTAACTTATATAACACCGAAAGAGACAACATGATGGCTAAATTGAATCTGATGAACCACAATAAAGAAAACGATAATGAAATATTATTAAAACTATTATCAAATCCTAGAATTTCTGCCCATTATATAACACAGGCATTTACAAAAAGACTCAACACTTTATTTCAATAATTCAAGATTGTTTATGTGTATTTATTGTTATTTTTCCAGTTATTTATTTGAATATGCATCGATTAATGCATTCATATATTTAATTATATTTAACACACTTTATAGTATTATTTCATTGAAATCGTAACGATCAAAAATATTACTTGAAACGTTTAAAGTGACTTATAGGTCCATGAGATGAGGCCGGGTGTTTGTATTAAATTATTTATTTTGTAAATAATGTTTGTATTATAACACATGTCACTATAATAAACATATTCTATTCTATTCTATTCTATTCTATTCTATTCTATTCTATTCTATTCTATAATACTACTAGGATTCTTTTGGTAAAAACAAAGTCTATGCATCGGATTTTCCCAATTTAGGTTTAAGGGCCTCTGCCCCACCAGGCTTGCCCCATGGTATGTCAGTTATCCAATATTTTCATGGAGCACGGTATCGGTACTACTTAGTTCTGCATTTCTTTTTCTGGAAACCCAACAGGCTCACCCATGCATAAGGAATACCTCGAATTAGTAAGGGAAGAACAGGCACAAATAAAAGTCATGCTTTACCTAAGCAAACTAAGCCTATTTGTATTGGAAAGTTGTCGCGTAATGATATCTCGCGGAAAGAGAGATTGGTTTATTTTAGAGACCAATCTTGGTTTAAACTTTAGTTTTTTGCCGGTGACCGATCCAACGATTTGGCTCACGTCGTTTGTCAGGAAAATAAACTTTTGCAAGATGATACTGGGTTCGTTTTTAACCACACTTATGGGAAAACTCTCCGGGTTTGAAAGCTAAGAAAAACAATTTGTTGTAAAGCGATGCCAGAATTTTCTTATCTGCCCAGTTCTTACTATTAAATATTACGTTAATGCTTGCAAGTCGATGGGGGTGAATATATCCAAAGGCTATTTATTCAGAATCGTTTCAGATTATGGGTGCGTTCTTGATAAAGCAGTGTCATATTCCGTAGTTTATAAGCGTTTGAGGTGATACATGGCCACATTAGGATCTACGAGGGTGAGACTCCGCATAGTTTTAGACACTCGCTTTAACACTCGCTTTATCAGAGTCTGACTGTAGCTCGTCTGAAATGATGAATCACCTTGGTTGGTTCACTGAGAAAAGCTCAGAATATTATAATAGAGCCCATGTTAGATGGAATTACGGTTGCAGATAAACTGGCGAAGGATGTATTAAATTCCGATAATCTAGAATTAAAAACTAGTATCGATTAATCCCAGCTGAAAAATGCCTTAGTGTAAATGATCATTAACATAACATCAACTCCTATTTAAATTCGTGATTTATGTGGTATTTTCACTGTCCAATAAGTGTATGTTTGATTTGCAGAAGGATATATGGGCTATTCGTAGATCTGAGTCTTGGGCGTTGGAGGATTTGGGGGATTGGTGAGTGTTGAGCACTATTTTAACAGTGATATTTCTATATCACTCTACAATTGATGTATTGAGCACTATTTTAACAGTGATATTTCTATATCACTCTACAATTGATGTATTGACCACTATTTTAACAGTGGTATTTCTATATAACTCTACAATTGATGTATTGACCACTATTTTAACAGTGGTATTTCTATATCACTCTACAATTGATGTATTGAGCACTATTTTAACAGTGATATTTCTATATCACTCTACAATTGATGTATTGAGCACTATTTTAACAGTGGTATTTCTATATCGCTCTACAATTGATGTATTGAGCACTATTTTAACAGTGGTATTTCTATATCACTCTACAATTGATTATTGAGCACTATTTTAACAGTGGTATTTCTATATCACTCTACAATTGATATATTGAGTACTATTTTAACAGTGATATTTCTATATCACTCTACAATTGATGTATTGAGCACTATTTTAACAGTGATATTTCTATATCACTCTACAATTGATGTATTGAGCACTATTTTAACAGTGGTATGTCTATATCGCTCTACAATTGATGTATTGAGCACTATTTTAACAGTGGTATTTCTATATCACTCTACAATTGATTATTGAGCACTATTTTAACAGTGGTATTTCTATATTGCTCTACAATTGATGTATTGAGTACTATTTTAACGGTGGTATTTCTATATCACTCTTCAATTGATGTATTGAGTACTGTTTTATTTTTATTGAATATTTATGACTTTATCAATATTGTTATGGAATTTTAATCTCATATTTCAATATGGAATGTTTTTATTTTGAAAAAGTAACATAGACGTTTTTTAAGGTTAATCCTGCTGATTGTAATTCACATAGGCTCTACAGGCTTTCACCGGTAAATACCAAACAACAAGTCGACAAATCGTGTGCACCATTTCCCAAATGACTTCAAAGATCCCGATGCATTGTTGGCAGATATCGAAATAATGGGAAATGACACCAGAAAGAGTGGTGTATAGAATATGCGAAAAGCTGCAAAGTGTCCTTTTGGAAGCAACGTTTTCACCCATGCCTTGCTAAAGCTTCTAGTGGCCGACACTGGCAATACACATGTTGAGGTGGATATGATTATATAATAATATTAGGAATTAAGCTAAAACTATGGATTTCGTATGCATAATAATTATATAAAATAGTGCTAGATATTTTTTTAAAAGACAAAGTGTTCGACGGTGTTCGCCAGTCAAAATGGCTACGTTTCGATCCTGATGAAAGGCGCAGTTTTCTAAAGGGCATCCATTCACTAATGTTTTTATTGGTCAAGATTGTAAATCTCCATTTTATGTTCAGTCTAAATAATAGTAATCCTTAGTTAATTTATCACGCCGTGGTAAATAGCCTTATATGTATAATTGTTGTAATGCTGTGTCTCATTGAGTGACTGACGTTTAATACGGATAAATATTGATCGTATTCAATTACATTGTGCATATCGCATACCATCTGGCAAAATCAGATATCCTTGTGCGTAATTTCTAGCAGTGTTTGAAAACTAGGATATTTTTAGTTGAAACTTTCAAAACAGGTAATTGACTTATTCTCGTTTCTGGGAAACATTAGTTGAGGGGGGCGAGTAGGGCCACAAAATTGTACAATTCGTTCGTTGTATGATGCCTTAAATGGGTGTATTTGAGACAATAAACCTATCTTATCTTATCTTATGTAGGCAGAGTAAATAATCAATCAAGAAAAAAAAATTGTCTCTGCTCTCCGAAACATGGCTCCTCAATTACATTAAAGAAGACCAAAATGGACAGATTTTGTCAAATTGTTGGCCTATTGGTAGGATTGTGTTTCAATTGCAAAAAGGTTTTTTTTTTAGTGTTTAAAGAATGAAATGTCACATTATTTATTTTGAAAATATTAAAAATCTCCCTTTTATACGGTGGTTTAATATTTTTATTATGATTAATTATACTTATTTTTCATTTTTGTTTATGATAATTCAGATACAAAAATGAAAAATAAGTAGAATTGAAGATTGGTTCCCTTATTTTCATTTATGAAAATGAAAAGACTAATACTTATATGAATAGAAAGTAGAGGAAAAGCTACAAAGTGTCCTTTTGGAAGAAACGTTTTCACCCATGCCTTGCTAAAACTTCAAGTGGCTGTCACTGACAATGCACGTGTTGATGTGGACATGATTATATAATAATATTAGGAATTAAGCTAAAACTATGGATTTCGTATGCATAATAATTATATAAAATAGTGCTAGATATTTTTTTAAAAGACAAAGTGTTCGCCGGTGTTCGCCAGTCAAAATGGCTACGTTTCGATCCTGATGAATGGCGCAGTTTTCTAAAGGCATCCATTCTCTAATGTTTTTATTGGTCAAGATTGTAAATCTCCATTTTATGTTCAGTCTAAATAATTGTAATCCATAGCCTGATATGTATAATTGTTGTAATGCTGTAATACGTTCTCATTGAGTGACTGATGTTTAATACGGATAAATATTTATCGTATTTAATTACATTATGCATATCGCATACCATCTGGCAAAATCAGATAACCTTGTTATTTGAAAACTTAATTTCTAGCAGTGTTTGAAAACTAGGATATTTTTAGTTGAAACTTTCAAAACAGGTAATTGACTTATTCTCGTTTCTGGGAAACATTAGTTGAGGGGGGCGAGTAGGGCCACAAAATTGTACAATTCGTTCGTTGTATGATGCCTTAAATGGGTGTATTTGAGACAATAAACCTATCTTATCTTATCTTATGACTTGGAAAAATACCAGTTTGTTTCACATGTCCATAATTAATTCATGATTAGCAAAATTAGAATAAGTAGAAATGAATGATAATAGTTTGCTTAATTTGACACTAAAAAATGAGGAACCCATCCTTAAATTATAAATAAAAAAATTAACATGTCCTAAACAAACCACCGTACCTTTAACATGTGTCAAAACAATACAAAAATCGGTAAAGTGAAGAAAAATGTTAAAATAATATTGCCACGTTTTATGTTTGTAGTGACTATTATTAATGTTATTATTATTCTACATAATACCAAGTCTATGAAATATTTACATTGTTGGCTCGAATTTTATTATTTAAAGTAGATCAATGACGCTATTAAAAATAGATAATATTTAATGCCAACATGTTTCAATTCCATATTTTCATGACATGAACTGAACATAAATCTGTTGTCTTTTTGCATTACGCCTTTTATAATATCGAAAGCCGACTGGCTTTCGTTCATTACGACAAAAAACAGCATTTCAAATTAACAGATTTATATGAGATAAACTGAGCACGTTACATTACCAGTAACAAAAGATCTACATCACTAACTATTCGAAGACACCATGCGACCTATGGTCTGTATCAATGTTATACCATGTTATATTATAGTCCATATCAAATGGAGCTCCCCTCTAGTGACGTCATTAAACGCGTTAGTTTTAGTGGAATTACAAGAACCACAGACGTCGGAATGAAAATTGGATTTGTGCAAGTTTTTGCTATCAGTGTCCCTGATACACCTAAAAGGTTTAGAATCTAAATGGAGTAGGTGGAGTCAAGATGTGCTACAATCAATCCTATTTTATGTTATTGCGCGACTGAAACTCCGCCCCCTTTTTATTAAAAAAAATCGCGAAGTGTATGAATTTCTATTTGATGAAATAAAATGATAACGTAATCAATATGTTAAGCTGTCAATCCATTAAAAAAAATTAATAAAATTTGTATTTATGTTACAAGTCATATATACCATGTATCTTACTCATCAAACTATTTAACCAAATTCATCCTAACGTTTGTTGAACTCGTCAGAAAGATGGTATGTATACTACATAAAAGCATATTACACCTGGCACAGAAGTTTTATAAACTATAATTAATCGCGAAAGTCGACATCTACCCAGCAATGTGTTGCTCGTTCACTTTGGCGGTCGGATGAATTGATGTCTGATTGTCTGAATGACATGATAACTTGGTGCCGGAGTGACGCATTGTCTGGATGTCTGGATAGCTTGGTGCCTGGATAGTTTGATGTCGGGTTGTCTGGATGACATGGTGGCTTAAAGGTTTGATGTCCGAGTGGCTTGATGTCTGGACAGCTTGATGTCCGAATAGCTTGATGTCTGGGTAGCTTGATGTCTGGATAGCTTGATGTCTGGATGGCATTAGGGCTGGATGGTTTGAAATCCGAATGACTCGATCTCTGGATAGCTTGCAGTCCTAATGGCTTGATGTCTGGGTAGCTTGATGTCCGAATAGCTTGATGTCTGGGTAGCTTGATGCCTGGATAGCTTGATGTCTGGATTGCATTATGGCTGGATGGTTTGAAATCCGAATGACTCGATCTCTGGATAGCTTGCAGTCCTAATGGCTTGATGTCCGAATAGTTTAATGATTAGATTGATTGTGCTCTATCTTTTCAGAATAAAATCAGGATGAATTTTCTTCGATCTCTGTACATCCTGCTCATCGCCTTCTTTATCTTTGTTTTCCTGTTTGTTCAATACCAGCCGTTACGATATCTACAAACAAAATCCGTGGACAGGGAAGCCACAGAAATGAAAAAAGAAAAAGATAGTATGCTTCAAGAAATGAAAAAAGAAAAAGATAGTATGCTTCAAGAATTGAAAAAAGAAAAAGAAAATAGGCAGAAACAAATGAAGGACCAAAACGAAGACATGACAAAAAAAATAACAATAACGAAACCAAAAGAACCAACTGTTCCTCAAAACATTGGAGTAAAAGATTTGTGTACATTGCTTGATAAAGGTGAGTATCTATTTTGTTTAAGGAAATTTATATACATGTATTGCAATAGAAGGCTTGAAGGATACACACATTAAGTAGCACTTGAACGCAGCTGTGTGTATTACTTCTTACCGGCTATATTCCATCTGTTAATCGTCCCAAATTATGGACATCCCATTAACTCGATGTCCCAATTGATAGACATATTATTTAGACAAAGGGAGGATATACTGGTAATAACCCATCCTGTTTGTAAGACATCCTATTTGTTAGACATTTTATTAGTTAGACTTCCTATTAGTTAGACATCCCATTCGTTAGATATCCTATTTGTTAGACATTTTATTAGTTAGACTCCCTATTAGTTAGACATCCCATTCGTTAGACATCTCCCTTGCCCCACAGCCCAGTAGTTAGACATCCCATTAGTTACACATCGTATTAGTTTGACTTCCCGTTAGTTACACATCTTATTAGTTAGACATCCCATCAGTCAGATATCATATTAGTTTGACTTCCCATTAGTTAGACATCCTATTTGTTAGACATCCCATTAGTTGGACATCCCATTAGTTACACGTCATATTAGTTAGACATTCCATAAGTTAGACATCATATTAGTTAGACATCATATTAGTTAGACGTCCCAATTTTTAGACATGTTCATTTAGGAGAAGAGAGAATTTATCAATAAATGTAATGAATCAGTCCGAAGTAGATTTAAGTACCGAGATAAAGGGACTCATAATACGGTTCGTTCAAAATCATGGATACCTGAAAAGAAACATGACTTTATTTTCAATTTCCATCATGAAATAACGTCATCTGTTAGTTATATGAAGGCAATTGTGTTTATATTTTGAAGGTATTCAAGTTGACTCTTGGTGGAAATATGTTTGTTTGATTGAAAGGTAATTATTACGTCCACAAAGGCATTAACAACTGGTTGTGGGGGGGGGGGGGGGGAAGGGGAGGGAATTTTGGCGAGTATGAAGACTTGTATTAAGACCACTCGGCCTGTGTTTAAAACCTACTCGGTCCATGTATATAGACCACTTGGTTCGTGTTGAAAGACCACCCGACCTGTGTGTAAAGGCCACACGGCCTGAATGTAAATCACTTGGTCCGTGCTTAAAACCACCCAGCCTGTGTGTAACGGCCATTCTTCCTATGTGTAAAGACCACTTTGTCCGTATTTAACGACCACTCGGTCTGTGTATAAAGACCATTTGATCCGTGTTTAAAGATCACCCGGTTTGCGTATAAAGCCCACACGATTACTTGGTCTGTTTAAAGACCATTGGATCTGTTTATATATCATTCGACCTGAGTATTAGGACCATTCGGCCTGTGTATAAGGACCATTCGACCTGTGTATGGCGTCCACTCGGTCTATGTATATATAGATCATTCGACCTGTTTAATTAGACCATTCGATCTGTTTAATAAAGACCACTTGCTCCGTGAGATCATAAAATTTGATTAATCTTATGGTCATTTTGACTGATTTGTGGACGTTATATCGGCTGTTATAAGAAATGGTCGTTTTGACTATAACCTTCAAAGAGGTTATTACCCCTTAAGCCCGATTCACATAGACAGAATTTACTCTTGTAAGTACTCGCGTAACGTAAGTACAAATCCATGTGAATTTTTCTTAAGAAAATATATATTTTGTTGTAGGAATATCGATAAGCCTCTAGGTTATAATTGTAAGAATGCTAAGAACATGGGAAATTGGAAAGTTTGTTTTGATGAAAAATACAGCCCTATTCGTCCAGATAAACCCTGTTTAGTTTATTCGTTTGGGTAAATATTACTTATAAGATGTTCAATTTAGCATCGCAACTTTATATAGGCAAATGAGGCAAACACCTCATGACGAAAGAAACGTTTGTATTGCAATTCGCGGACTACTTTTAACAACTTTTAAACAACGTCTGGAGATCATGATGATGTACATTAAAAACCTGTACCATACCTATCATTTCTGTCAAATACAAACTGTTTTTCTTTCTGTTTTTTAGGATAGCTTGGGATTTTACATTTGATATCGCAATGGCGAAAGAAGGTTGTGAGGTGTATTCATTCGATCCAAGGTAATTAAAATTGTTTTTATCAAAAACCGGAATATAAGATGTAGGTCCAGGTAGAATGTTTGAGATGATTTACGATGAATACGGGTAACGTCGAAAGCTTTTTTAAAACAAGTTAATTGTGTCCCTTCCTCACAGCATCGATGTTTAAGTGGGTCATAGCACGTGTAAATATTGCCGTCGCCCGTCTAAGTCACAATTGCTCGTAAACGCTCTAGAAGGCACAATTTTTGACAGATTTTGACAAAACTTGGTAACATTAATCAGTATCGCCCCAAAAAGTTCAATAAAAGTGTATGACTGAAGGTTGAATATTTCATACTGGTGACTGTATATTTGTTTTCAAAATCAGCGCTGCAAGTGGACGTATATCACCTCGCCTGGCAAGCTATATTTCTCATTGCTGAATTAACAGGCGCATCTCTAAGGGGGTCTGAAGATTCTGCACCCCCCCCCCCCCCCTCCTTACACCAAGATTTGATATTTATGTCAGGAAGCCTCAGGTCTGGAAAACTCGAACATTGAGGTCTGTTATGAAAATGTTACACCACGAAAATGTAAGTTGATCCCCGGTTGGTTAGAGGTTGGTTATGAAAATGTTACACCACGAAAATGTCAGTTGATCCCCAGGTTAGAGGTCTGTTATGAAAATGTTACACCACGAAAATGTAAGTTGATCCCCAGGTTAGAGGTCGGTTATGAAAATGTTACACCACGAAAATGTAAGTTGATCCCCAGGTTACAGGTCGGTTATGAAAATGCTGCACCGTGAAAATGTAAGATTATCCCAGGGTTAATGGTCGGTTATGAAAATGCTACATCACGAAAAGGTAAGTTTATCCCCGGTTGGTTAGAGGTCGGTTATGAAAATGCTACACTACGAAGAGGTAATTTTATCTCCGGGTTAGAGGTCTGTTATGAAAATGTAACACCACGAAAAGGTAAGTTTATCTCCTGGTTAGACTGCCGTTATGATGATCCCTGGGTTAGATGTAGGTTATTAAAATGCTACAACACGATGTTCATACATTGATTAGCAGTTCATCGCAGTTTCATACAGTCTAGGGTGGGGATCATGTGGCAAATCTTATGTGATCTTATGTGCATGGCGTAAGCCAAATTGGGTCTGTAAAGAAAGACGCAAAACTTTATTTTGTTAATTTGAATATTTTCAGAGAGTGATCGACGTATTGAAATTTGATATTGAGCTAGCTGAATGGAAGGTCATGATAAATATTATCAAAGATGGAATGCTTCCTCAAATACGACAGCTACTTACAGAATGGCACATCTTTCCAGGAGCACCAAAAAGAGATGAACTTAAAACCTTTTATGAAATGCATCGTGATTTGCCATCACACGGGCTGGAGACGTTTTTTAAAACGGGTCATGCTCGTCAACATTCTGATTTACTAAAATTTAATTCCCAAGCCGAGTCTTGTTATATCAATGTCAAGTTTACGGACTCAAAATAAAAATCTTCCTTTTTGTATAAAAAAAACAATAGTTATTAAAGTGCCTTTTTATGGATTTGTTAAATTCTTTTGAATTAGTTTGAATTAGTTTTATATTTATATTTTCTGAATTGTCGCTTTCGTTTTTGTTTTTCGTTTTTTTTTTTTTCTTTTTAAATTATAACTTATGTCTTCTGAATTTTCATTATGGTCAATTATGGCGAATGCTGCTCAACATACACAAAACATTGACTTTACCGAACAATATTAATAGATCAAGGGAGGCTTAACATGATAAAAAAAATCAGTTCAATGGAGGTACCTAATAATGATTTTTACAGTGTTAAGGAGAGAACATTTCACTTGAATTGGGGTTGAAATGTGAATTAGGAACAAACGAACACATCAATAAGTTATAAGGAGTACGGTTATAAACATTGTTAACTGAGTTAGATTTACCTTGACAGTTCTTGGTGGACCAATATCAACAGCTGAATGTACCAAAGCTTGTCAATCGATGACCCCATGCTGAGAACGACATATAGAAGCGAGGAGCACATATAACAAAAACACAAGACAATATTATGGAATATAACACACTTCTTTAATAAGGTTGGGCACATAACGTTTCAACACAATATACACGTGTCGTCATCAGATGTAATGGCAAGAGAATAAAGACGTGCATGAGATTTCCAACAATAACAAATAAAAACCAGAATTTATTAAAATTTTAAATATTTCTTTGTCTGATTTATCATGTTCATTGTCTGAATGGGAATTTTCCAGTAGAGAGGATTTCATTGACAGGGGAAGTGGGGGGAGAGGGGGTGGGCATCGAGAGACTCTTCGTCACTTTGAGAATATTAGAGGGCACTAGTCGGGGGTCAGGGGGGCCTCTTAGAACGATTGTGATATGGTGAAGTGAAAGTGAAATAAAAATGTAAGTTTGTATAGCCCGAATTGTCAATATTAAAATTACAATTTTGTCGTCGATCTGAATGGTCAAAATCTGCAACCAGTCGTTCAATTTTTGGATATGAGTGTTTCTCTCGAGTTGACTGAAACCGATCTGAAATATATTTGTCTATACTCAAAACTTTTAACAATTCGATATATGCATAAATATATAGCCTATATTAGTTATCAAAACATCTCATTTCCCAATTTCATTATTATTCTTTAAAAACATTTTCGGAAAAGACATGGTAATTTTTTGTAATTAAGAAACAACAGATCATGATACGACTTGATAGGATTAGCCGTTTAAAGAGTACTTATCTCAATAGAATTTGATTAATTGGCGTGGAGTAATCTTGACACGATCAAAACACTACAGGGGGAATACTTGACATTGTCTATTTGTTACTTGGTTAATCGCGACTATGGATTATTGATTGGTGACCTAGGTAACGAAAAACATGTATATACAATTATTGAATGGACTCTTTTATAAAAAGCTTTATTTTATGAAGTACAATTATAACCCAACTACGATTTGACGCATGTACCGTTTAATACATTTGGTAAGTAACTATGAATTTATCTCTTAAAGCACATCTCTAAGGAATCTGGGTAGAGTCTATTGCCTATAGAGTGTAAATATACTCGTGACTGTCTCTTAATAATAATACACTTCCGGGTACAAAGTTCTACCTGACAAATATTTGAAATATGTCCTCATGCGAGGTGAGCTAAATAACATACGAAATATGTATATATACGAACATATGGTTTTTACGGGAATAACACGGACATTTCCACATAAAGGACCATAGTGGTTTTGATACTCTCAGAGATAGTCGAATATTTTCACAGTATGAAATTAAAAATCGCTAAACATATGTTATGTTAACTCAAACTAAGTTTGAGGTCCTGTTTAAGTCTGTGCAAGATTTGTCTAATGAAGTGTGCAATGTTGGAGCTGACCGTTGACTGACCTAATTTATCAACAGTCGGCGATTAAATGAACATCCAAGATTAATTTGCAAATAACAGTTCAGTTAACTCCTGAAAAGCAATGTGTTATGATTCAAAAGGGACTTGAATTACAAACAGAAAAGCTTGAGAGACTTTATTATTTCGCCTGATAAAGCACGTTAACTTTGAGAATAATTAGACACTTGTCCTTGCCTGTGCAACTTTTCCTAGCTTCCTGGTAGCCAAAAAGTTAAGAGTAAATGGTCGCTATCGGCTTCCATACAAGTCTACCGGTACTTTGTACCACGCGTGTACTAGTCCAGATTACCATGCCCTTCAGTTACCACTAGTCTCGAATACTACGCATTTTCAATCGAATAAAAATCAGTTGATTTTAGATTTTAAGTCAGGTTGTAACAGACTATAAATATGGCTGGATAATCGTGAACTTCTTTTATGAAGATCCGTAGCCAATCGCGACTTGAAGATCGAGATGGGGATATTAATGGCGGGTCCAGTCTTGTCGATTGCTTGTATATATTTTGTATACCGGTGAAACTAAACAACTGTTTGATAAATATCAAGTTGTTATGGTGATAAAACAAATATAAACATCGTCGTTTATTAGGACAAGACGGGGTTCGTATTGCACTGGTCAATTAATCTATTGATGTTAAGGAAAATACCAATTGCTAATTGTGCCTTTTCCTCATAAGGAATTGATTATCACACAATGCTGGGTTCTATGATTGATTGGTTCCACCCTAACAGGAGTGAGGCAGAAGCTATCATTTAAATTTGAAAGCTAGTCAATGGACAGCTTTTTCACATTTAGCAGTGTGTTTTGTAAGGGGTATGAGGGGGTGAGGCAGGGCTGTATCTGAAGATATTTTCATTTGTGTACAGAAAGTGTCATATCTAGGCCTTTTTTAATTGTGAAAGAGAGGTTAAGCAACCAACTAGCCTTCCAGTTTCAAATGATGTTGGTTGGTAAATGACAAGTTAACTTTAGCTTCCTGCAGATGCTGATATTGTAAACTAGGTAGTTGTTGGTTGTCGTAGTAGTTGGTAGTTTTTATATGAATTGGTTGGCAGATGCTGATATTGCAAACTAGGTAGTTATTGGTTCAAATGATGTATAATACAGTTATGGCCATCTGCTGTTAGTAAATTTGATACTGCAATAAACACCTTTAGCAGGGTAATTATTTACCAAGTTTTTTAATAGTTGCATGTGTGACCTTTTTAATTGTTAATTACTCCCCTTTTGTTTAATTAATGAGGTGCCTTTCAGTTTGCTCACTGAAGATTTTTCCCTAGTGTATAGCTAGCTCCCCCATATTGCCAATTAGTATTCTGTTATATGTTATTGAACCATGATTGTTACAATTGGTGTGTAGGTTTAATTAGGTGTCAGTCCAGACTATGAGTTGCATTGAGAATCATTCAGTGATTTTCACCTTGCTGAATCAGTTTGTGTTGGAATGTGGTGTCATTAAGGTAGGGTCTGTCTACTGTAGTTGAGATGCTCGAATAGTATCAAAGTATGTGTCTAAGATATCATGTTGTAATATAAAACAGGTGCTCCACCATTTCAGTGATTCAAGCATGGCAAAAACTAACCTGAGATGTACAAAATTGCTGTCACTAAATTCACACAGTATGTTTACTCACTCTTCTAGGACACCTGATGCCACCCCCTGACTGGTCGGTTTATGTCTGAAAGCTTTAAAAGAGTCTGTGTTACCACTTTAAAAAAGTTTGTTAGGTATACCAACTGAATAATTACAAACTTGAATACCATTCTATGACAATTCAGCATCTTTTCTGTTCTAGAGAGTCCACACTCCACATGGACACCACCGAGTCTATAATGTTTTAAAATTAATTGATTAATTTTGAATATATTTCAGATCTGCTCATGTTAGGAACTAGCTAGTCTGAAAGTTTACAACTGGTGTCTCAGAAAAACCCATCAAAATGGAGTTAGTCACAGATAAAATCAAAGAAGCTCAACAGCTTTATCAAAAGGCTTTGGACTTGGCAGATAAACGTGTGGAAAACTGGTTTTTAATGGACAGCTTTATACCAACACTTGCTATCACTGCCTTTTATTTACTCTTTGTGTATGTGGTGCCCAAGATAATGGCAAAACGTGAAGCCATCGAATGTAAAACTGGTTTAATGATTTACAACTTTGGTTTAATTCTTTTGAATTTGCATATATGTACAGAACTTTTCACAGCATCATATAAGTTAGGATATAGTTATTTGTGCCAACCAGTGAGTTATACATATGATCATAATGAAATGAGAATAGCCAAGGCATTGTGGTGGTTTTATTTCTCTAAAGTGCTAGAGATGTTAGACACTGTGTTTTTTATTTTACGTAAGAAAAATAACCAAGTTAGTTTTCTTCATGTTTACCATCATGCAACCATGTTTCCTATTTGGTGGATTGGAATCAAATGGGTAGCAGGAGGTCAGTCTTTCTTTGGGGCCATGATGAACTCCTTCATACATGTATTGATGTACACCTACTACGGAGTTTCTGCCTTAGGGCCACAATTTCAGAAGTATTTATGGTGGAAAAGATACCTGACAAAAATCCAACTGACTCAGTTCTGTATTGGAATCACCCATGCTGTACAGTCCTTAGTTTTTGATTGTGAGTTTCCAGCATGGATGCACTGGGCTCTCATCTTCTACGGTTTCACCATTCTGGCTTTATTTCTTAATTTTTACTACCATTCATATGTTAAAGCTCAAAAGAAGAAGACTGGAAAAGTTCAAAATGGAAGTGTATCAGAAGCTAATGGGCATGTACCATCTAAGAAAACTCAATAATTTTAATATGACTTTTAGACAATTTTCATGTGTGTATTTTCATTAGAAAAAATCATTTGGTTCAGATATTTATTTGAGATGAGAACAAACTCAGAAAGTTCATAATCGTTCGAAAAAATTTGGTTAGGTTATTTAGACCGTATTCCACAGAAACTTTTAGCATTGCACTCATCTGATTTTCACCATAGTTAGCTAAGTTTTGTGTAATACGACTTTGAATTGTCAAACACTGTAATTGTAATTGTTTTTCAACTTGTTATTAATTGTAATGGTTTGTAAGTTATGTTCATGAAATTAGCCCTATTGGCTATTTTACAAAGTTGTTTATGCAGCATACACTGCAGATATTAGAACAATGTTCTGTACTTTCAGAAGACTTGTAGCTAGAGGAGGGCCAGAGGGGGTCCTAAGAAAATCCCCCCCCCCTTAAAAATTTAGATGACTTAAATGACTTAAAAAAATTGGTCCCCCCTGAGATCCTGGGCTAGCTACTGACCTGACTTTCAGGTTTATTTTCAACAGTATTAAGGGATGACCAAGGTTTAATCAGGTAAAAAGAGTATTTATGCATATCTGAAGACATTTCCAAATGTGAATAAGAACAGACAACCTTATAGCTACAGGTAGAAGAAGTTGTAACAAGTCTTAACACCAAATGTGCTGAATCAAGCCTATTTAATAACTCATTTAACCTCAATATGGAGTGATCTCCCTTTGGTTTTTATTTGGAAATGCATATGCAAAGACCAAACTTTATCTCATCAATGTCCATTGTGAATTTCTTTTTTTATGTACTCGAACAAATTTATAATAATTGCGTTTTTCAAGTTTTCATTAGATTTACAGCAAACTCTATGTTAGTTGTTTTAGCTGCCAAAATAACATCAATTATCATGATACTGTATTATTTTAAGGATGCATGTAACAAATAGCTCATATCAAATTGTTCTTTCAATTCGTCAATTTGATGAACGCCTAGGCTAAATTCGATTTTTTGAAAAACAATAATTTATTCATGAAATCATTTCACGATGTTGTTTTTGTGTGTGAAAATTATTTATTGATTAACCTAGTTATTGCCTTTGTTTTTTTTGTGGAAAGCAGGTTGAGAGATAGTATTAAAACAATTTGATAGTCCCGGGACATATGTAAATGTTAGCCCTGTTTCTCAGTGCAAATTTGCAGAAAAGGAGGACGTAAAACTATATTTATTTCATTTCAATGCATAATTGTAAAGGTTTTCCTTATTTCCACAGCTGTATTGTATTAATTTTGATTAACCCGTTTTCAGGGTTAGTAATCTACATGTTACCGCTCTGCTTGGAGTTTGTTACTCTGCTTTCTTCATGTTAATTAATTTAAAAGCAATATTTATATTTACAGTGTTTAATATTTTTACATCATATTTTTAATCTTTTTAAAATATTTAAATTTTGACTATCACCTCCGCTTTAGTGGCCCTAGACTTAATGGCACCTGTGTTATAGAAATACTAACAAATGCCGAAAGCCTCTCAGTAGCCTAGTATGCACGCTTTATAATATGTCATTAATATATAGACCGAAACGTCTGCCTCTATTCCAGCTTCTGATAGCTAGTTTGAAAGTTGTCAAAATATCTATCAGAGGCTGGAATAGAGGCAGATGTTTTGGACTAATAGACACTTTGCATAATGTTTGTAAGCTATATTTATTTATTTATTTGATTGCTATAATTATCAATTTGATCAACTCTTTTTATATTTATTATACTTGTTATTAAATATTCAACCCAATTCAAACACAGATATAATATTTCGTTTCGTATTTTTCCCGGTCGTTGTTTTGAAGAACGTTGTCTACTAAGTGACATGAAATAAGGTCATTTGCAATAAATGCAGTGAATCGTGCATTATATGCAGGTAAAATTTCTTACATTGTGTAATAGTAATACTTTGCATCAAAAAAAGAAAAATCCGAAGCGAAATATTAATAACGACATGTATTTGAATGACATTGAAACCATATGTGACTCTTTACCTCTTCTTTAATTAAAATACACCTCGACTTGTACTACACCTTTGTTCTTTTTAAAAACACCGATACATGGGTGGGGTGAGGGGGGCGTATCATGGTGGGGACAGGGTTCGTAATGGTCCTAAAAAGAGATCAAAAAATGCTCCGAAATGCCTTATATTTCTAAGACTATCAATATGCATCTTCACAATGTCAAGGTAATATGATCACCGTCTTATACCTTGTTATCGTAAGGCACTTTTTTGTACCACAGAAGATAGTAAATACAATGGATCATACGCTAGCAAATACAACCAATCAGAGCCCTCGACAGAAAGGCTGTAAAACAAGGCTGCTCATGCAACTACTAATCGAGGCTCTGAATGGCTGAATTCGGTAGTATACAATCTGAAAGAGTCGTCATCACTTGGTTTCCTTTATCTCAAGGACCATCGACACCGAAATTGATATCTCCGATGTTCATGCAAATAGGTCAGAAACCTATATTCAAATCATGTGAGCATGAATGACCTCTATAGAATAACTGGTCAAAAAACAGAATTAACTCAAGCCTAAAGAACCATAACTCTTACAAAGAATTTAATAAAAAAAATATTTATTTCCTAATTACAAAACCTCAGTTGCCGGGAGCCTGTGGTTTTGGTGAATTTTTCATCAAGTTGTATAACGCGTCTCCAGGACAAGTTGTGGCTGATGCATCGCGATGACCAATTACATCGTAATCTGGCGAAATCTTTCCATTGGCCAATCCGTATTCAATCAGAGCTTTTGCAGCATTTAGGGCAGCTGCGGTAGGTAGCTTCTCGTCAAAATTACCAATAAATGCTATGGCTATGCCAATTGTATTGTGTCCAGGGGTATGGGCACCTTGTTTGTCCCACCCTCGACCTTCGTATACCTTCCCATCGCCACATATCAGGAAGCTGTATCCAATATCAACCCAGAAATTTCCATTCTTGTCTGGAAGAAAAATAATATAGCCACCAGATTTCATTGAGACGTGCATTTTTTTAACATTTTTCACCAAAACAATTTTAGTGAAATTTTCCCTATTCGTGTCGTACTATAAGCACGTTTTATGATCGACCCTTAGTACCCCAAGTTCCAAACTATAGCTCCTTGTTGATTATTATTATTCAGGTGGTTTTTTCGCCTATATCCAAACAGTGCATAAGATACTAGCACCCTAAGTTCGGATTCTGTACATAAAATATTTTCAGAGTTGCACATCTCTCGTACCTCTAAAAGTATCCTTATATTATATATCAGCGACATTCCCCGTGCCCTTAGGCCCTTGCCATTAAGAGTCTCTCTCGTGCCTTAAGGAGGCGTCGCATTTTTTACCCCGAAACAGTATACACTTTACTCACCCTTTCGTGTTTTGTGACCGGCCTGTATATTTCTAACTAGTTCTTTACACCGTTCAGTATTACACCCTTCCTGCCCTTCTGTATGGTGTATTATCACCTCTGTTACGGGTAGCCTGATAAACGTCAGGTCGTCTCTGTCCACTATCGAACCCCATTCCTCCCGGGTCACTAACTCAAACTTCTCTGGTTTTGGATCTAAGAAAAAGGAAAGATGTTATATCACAGGAGTTCGAAACATAGCTTGCCTTTTACATATTGAAAGAATTGCTTGTGGTTCCCTGGAAAAGTTTGTGGCTCTGCTCGGTCTTTCATCTAATGTTTGCTAAAAACACCACTAATGTGAGACCAGACTAGATGGAATCTTGATCTAACGAGTGTTAAACATACGTTATGCTAATTTTTACATTGATAACAACTTAGGTTTACAATAAAATTATCCTCTCTACCAGCTGGTCCTCAGTCAAACCTCTTGGCATTGATCTCTCTCGAAGCATCCGTATAACCTCTTCAAGATAGATAAAGCTACCCCAATTGATAATAAAATAATTACAAACCATCTTTGATACAGCATTTTCTATTTGCTGGACCTGCACATAAACCAGTGACGTATTTCCCACCTTCACACACGGCTGCAGTGGAGCATTCCCCTCCTCTATCTGCACACTTTTCATCACCTTCAAAAATATCTCAATATCTTGAATGGAAATGTGTTTTTTAGCTGAACAGATCAAAACTTATCTAGGGAATAAACTACATGATAGTTCTGCCATAATTCTAAAAATTTAATATTAATTCTATATTAAAATGTACTCCCAATGTACCGCAATCTGTTGAGAATACAAATCTGATGAACGTTTCGTGGTTTTGCTGAAAATTTCTCATTATGTCACCTTTTTTTGGATAACTATTATTACAAATTGACTGTCATTATTAGCATGGTTGGTTTAGGTTATGATAAATTATCAAACGAAATTATTCTCTTCAGTGCAGATTGTTATACAGATGCGACATCAGTGAGACAAAATGGAATCATATCCGGTAATATGACAATCTATTGAGGTATGACAATAAAAAAAAATACCTGTAGTTGTAGCGTTGGAAGATGATGGCTCTTCATCACCAAATTCCGGTACACTTGTATCATTTTCACACGGTGCAGATGTAGTGCTTGATAACTCTGGGGTTTGAGTCGATGGCGGGTATGTCGTGTAGGGCTGTGGAGTCGATGGCGGGTATGTCGCGTAGGGCGGTGGAGTCGATGGCGGATATGTCGTGTAGGGCGGTGGAGTATATGGCGGGTATGTCGTGTAGGGCTGTGGACTCGATGGCGGGTATGTCGTGTAGGGCGGTGGAGTCGATGGCGGGTATGTCGTGTAGGAAGGTGGAGTTGTTGGCGGGTATGTCGTGTAGGGCGGTCGAGTCGATGGCGGGTATATCGTGTAGGGCGGTGGAGTCGATGGCTGGTATGTCGTGTAGGGCGGTGGAGTCGATGGCGGGTATGTCGTGTAGGGCGGTTGGGATGATGGGTAAGGTGGTTGAGTTTCATCAGGCGGTACATACGTTGTTGGGGCGAAATACTGCGGTGATGTACGATGATACGGCGGATATGAGGTCTCCTGTGGCGTTGTAGTTCTATCGTCTCCCACCAAGGTAGTCATGAGTATCGTGGACGTGCCTTGAGGAGGGGGGTCCGTGGTATCATTACAACCTATAAGAAGAAAATAGAGATAGCAACTTATAGCATATGGTTCAACGCCTTGAAATTATAGTTCTATCAAACCAAAGTTCTACCTTTATTTTGGTAAATGATAGCGTTGCTACAATTCTTTTATTTCCAAAGTTAAAAAGGAAAGCATGTATATAATTCAAAGTGATTTTAAAGAGAGTTTTAAAACTTTTTACGTGTTTAAAGGATACTCAAAACATCGATTTGCAAGTTTCCAATCTGACATCTGTGGTTCTTACAATTCCAATAAAACTAATTGTTTGATGGCATCACAGTCGCACAGGTCTTTAAATGATAAAAGCAGCTTTTGCGACCCTGATCTCATCAAAATTGAATTTTTAGTGGAACTGCAGGAACCACAGACTTCTGATTGAAATTTTGAATTGTGCAAATCAATGCTATCGGTGTCCCCTATGCACATAACATTTAAATTTCTTTTAGGCATTTCTATTACAAAGTTCATTTTGTCAGATGTTGATCACTTATTTATTACTTTTCATTTTGTCAGATGTTGATCACTTATTTATTACTTTTCATTTTGTCAGATGTTGATCACTTATTTATTACTTATTTATTTACCATTAAAATGACCATGCTCCCATCAAAAAAGCAGAAAATGAAATCCTACCTGTAACAGCTGTAACCAGCAAAGTGGTCACCATAAAACACGATATTTGACGGATTAAACCCATCGTGATTTCTTCAACAAATAAATGCTACAATTGATATTCTGAACTGAAAAAAGCGTTTTAAACATCTCATGACTCCGGTATCCGAAAACAGCAAAATATGTCAGAGCTTGAAACAGGGTTGACGCGGGCACTTTAAAGACAATAGTGCCATAAATTAGAAATAATGAGAATATCTTTATAAAAAATGCACAGACTGAAAAATTGAAAGCGCCAAATACAATACTTTCCAATTTTGCCAATTTTCAAAATTGTCACAAGCGTAATTTGCTGAACTCTTGATGCAACTATACGATTATACTGTTAACATGGCATCCTTTGCTTTGCTGATTTGTATTTTCTGTCAAAGAATATAACAAGATATAAAATCAACCCCTACCTTGCTTGCTTGATATTCATTTGCCTGAATAAGAAATAGCTAAAGGGGCTGATATTTATATGCAAAAAAGTAGAACAGCCGGATCTGAGGACACTCTAAAAAGAAGTTTATGGAGCACGATTTCAAGTATAAAACTATTTTTAGTATCATTTTGGGATAAATGATAATAAAATGATTTCATATGGCTATACTGACACTGTAAAATACTTTCTGTAAAATAACCAATATTTGATGGGCAGCTCTCTTTCTAGCTTAAGATAGGACAAACCGAGTTTCATTTTTTTACATAGGGTAGGAAACGAAATCAAATGGATGGGGTTCTACGTTCTGCTCTTCTGCGCCTAATTATGCTAATGAAGACGGGCAACGCTCTGCAGTGTGCAATAAGGGAAATTTTGCTGGGACAGTGGCATTAGTCTACTCTTTTTCGATTTCCAACTCTCGACGGATCTTGTGGGAACGAAAGACTCCAAAAATCATTGACATAACTCTACTGTTATCAAAAAATGAAAAAAAAATTCTGGATTAGTTATGCACACATGTTTGCACTAAGATCACGTAGATGGTTCTTGCAATCTCCCAAAATAATTTACCAAGTGACGATACCTCTGTCGCCTTACGATTCGGGAATTTCTTCAGATTTTCTCATGCATGATATTGTCATTAAGGATTCATGTTGGGTTTGAGAAAAAAGAACTTTTTTAAGGATAACAACTTAGGTTCACATGTAGGATTCTTTCTACCACCTGGTTCCTTGGCCAGTCTATTTTTTACATGATTTGTCCCGGATTATCCATGCTTATTTACAGCTAGGTTGAGTGGAATGATGAGGAATGATGACTTTTTCCCTTGTATACACCAACCTAGATTAGAACCCACGCACGACCACCATTTGTTTGTAGATTTGTTACCAAAATGTAATGCATTGTATTGCGGGACTATATTGTACTCTGTGCCACGCAAAACGAAATATTTTTACAGTGATAACTGATAGAGGGTGATGGGAGTCAATTTATTCCTGTTTATCAATGAACTGTTTAACCGGATGTAATGGTTGGCTAGCCACAAAACAAGCTCGTTGACCTATAATTATATTGATGTAAAATCGATGGAGTAGAGCGTTTGCAGCTCACGTACTTTGAATCCTGTTTAGGTTATATCATTGTTGCTGAAAGCTTCGTGACATTCGAGACCATAGGGTTATTTGGTGGAGATTTGAATACAAAATGTCAAATTAACCGAGCCACTTGTTACAATGCTTTGTAAACAACACCCTAAAAACACATATAGGGGCCTAATATGCAGGAAAAAGGAAATAAATACCCCAATACCAAAAAAGAAACCAAAATGAATTGGTGGACGGTAGTGAGTCATCTACATCAGTTGACCCATTTGTTTTCATTGACCGACCTAATCGAATAAAGAGACGAAGTAAATAGGGTCAATCGACACACCATTGCAACCTTTTTAAGTTAATGAAATCGGTAAGAGCAAAGAAATTTCACTTCCCCATAAAAAATGCCTTGCATTTTCCCATTTCTTATTTTCAAAGCATCAGAATCCGAATCACATTGGGTGATTGGCATAGATACTACCCTCGATTATTTATATCTGGTTTCATTTCCATTTCAATGGTGCAGGTTGTAAGGGCTGGCATGCATAAACAATTCAGTCATTTGAATGCGAAACGTGAAATGCGCTTCGGGTCGGGGAGAACTTCAATATTAAATAGGACTAATTATTTCAATTATGATAATTAAAAAAAGGCTGTATAAACCGTTTATGTGTCTGGGACACATTTAGCTTTTATTCGCACCTTTTTGATTTTCTGACCGAAATCTGTGGATCTTGTACTTAAAACAGAAATACATGTATCTTAATCAGATTATGAGGTCTCTATCAGTTTCTAGGAAACATTAGGTGAGGGGGTCGAGTAGGAGCCACAAAATTTTCCAGGGAGTCCACAGGCTATTCTTTCACTATGTAAAATGATAAAAAATTTGAAGGTGGGGGGCTAAAGCAGAAACGCCATTGATCTCTATGCAAAATTAATCTGACATAAATAACAGGATGACGTACCTAAAAATTGAAATACTCAATTCATACTGTATATCACCGATAGATAACGGTCTACCAACTTTCAGTCATATGTGTCCCCTGAAAAGCTAAGGACTTGATTTCAATTGTTGTCTGTGTTATAAACAAGAGTTACTGCCCTTAGTACGTGTTCCGAGATGATATTTTCTTTTTTAAAAACAATACTCGTTTCTTGATTCGAGATTTATAAACTTTGAATAGTACGCACGTGAATGCTTTCTCCCTGTCTTCTAGTTTCAGACCAGCTCAGACCATTTAGGCCTTCGTCTTCATTAGCCCAATCAGATGCAAAGAGTTCATTTCATTCTATTTCTAAAATGTGTTATTTCCATATTACCATACAGTTCCCATAGCAGAACTTGATTGTTGGGAGGGGCAAGTAATATATCAGAATGGGCAATGGTGTATGGTGTTTAGATGTAGTAACATATTCGGTCGGTTTCAGGGTGGCAATCCATTTTTTTGCCCCACCCCCTTGTAGATACGGGCCTTTAGTGCTAGTCTAATTGCCTCAATCAGACAGCAACCAGGCATAGTATAGTAGAGGAATCTATTTCAGTCTAAAGGTAAACAATAACATTACAATAAGCTGGATTGAATTACTAACAACGGAACAGGTTATTCCTGGCTAATTGTTCCGATCAGTTGATTGACAGGTAAGGTGCTACAGACCGATCTATTCTTGTTCTTCAAAATAAACACGTTCAATACAATATAGAATGAAATTACAAGCCACAGTTCAACTTTTCTTGAACCAAAACGAAAGTTTCAGTCTCACCTGTGAGATGTTCTCATATCAACAAAACTAGTTATGAATGGTAAGAAATTATATATTCTGTTCAATGAGACAAAATTTAACTTGGGAACAGTTTACTTTGTGGTTATATTAGTGTGACCAATATTTACATCTTGGCCATATTATTGTGACCAATTTTTCCATATTGTTGGCCTTCCTCGTGACCGTTTCACTGTGACCATTTTACCTTGTGACCGTTTCACTTTGACCAATCTCCTACAGGACTGTATCACTGTGACCATTTTACTTCATGACTGTATCACTATGGTCACTTTTCCTTGTGACCGTACCAATCTGACCAATTTTCCAGTCTCTAAATATTCCTTTTGTCCAGTTTACACCCCCCCCCCCCCCCACACTCCTCCTTTCAAGCTGAGTAGGGCTGACAGTGAGTAATGTGAACAGGCATATACAAGACTAAAATAAACAATAACGCCCTGCTGAGTTATTTCAGTTTTGTATTTGATCTCGATATTCACAACTCTGATTATTTTTGAATTGTCAATCAAATTTTTAAGATATACACCATCTGTTCTCAGTTCAGATTGTAGAGTGGAAAATTCTATCATTGGTATCTGGTTTCTGGCAGGTTCGGCTTAATCATCTTATCATCTTCGCAATGTCAAGCTACAACGAACATCGCCGTACACACTTTTTTTGAATATTGAAAAACTATTTTTACTGTAAATAAATGAAAATTATCATGATAAAACCTGGTAAATCTAAAATTAGTAAAAGACATTTTAGAGAGTTATAAAGATAAAAACTAAAGTAAGAAAACGGAAGAGAAAATAAAAGGCTATGATATTTAGTTTGTAAACAGAAGAAAACTATTGG